TCACTTCTCATTATAACAAAGTGGGAGTAAGCCAGGCTGGGATGAAGCTCTTCAAATATGCAGGATTAACCATTTTTGCAGGTTTATTGTGGGACCTGTAGGTGGCCTCATTTTAATAGTCAATAAACCAAGAACTATTCAGTTTGCCAATGAGCTAAGCAACATTTTGTCTTATTGTACTGAATCTGGAAGCAGATGGAATTTGCTTCCAGTGCCACTGAATACTCTGTTGTTTGTTCTGTAAACAAAAGTGGGTCTAGAGCACACTGATTTTAATTCTGGAAGTGCAAAAATCTGCTTTGTTTTCATCCTTAAATTCCTTCAGGGATGGGAAGGGAGAGGGCACGATTTTGAAACGCTGGGTTAGGACCAGTCGGGCAGCCTGTACCATGTATTTCGTCTCCCCTCCTGGACCATGGGGGAAGGAGCAGAGGACTGCTGGCCACGCACTGACACTAACCGCGGACATTTTGCAACATACTGAACAAGAAGAAAAAATAATACATGTCCCATATTCTGTTAGAGAAGGCCTAATCTCATGGCTTGCCAAATGCAGTTGGGTAAATGGGCTGCAAAACAAGGCTAAATGAAGGGAGACCGAGACCTTTTCGATACCATCAACAGAGTACCAACATCCACATCCACACTTGGCATCACGTTTGTGACAACGCATTCTTCAGTGTCACCCCAGCAGAAACGCTGACTTCCAATGCTGTCCGATTTAACTGAGCCATTTTTGGGGGGCTGGAAGACGAGGAAATACAATGGAGCTCAGCTAGCGCCACAGAAAGCTCTGCTTTTGTCAGCTGTTGAAAGGGTGACAAGACCTCGAGCCTCCCGCCCTGGGCAGCTCCTGCCACTGTCCCGTGCCGGGCCACCGGAGGCAGGCCGCGCGCTCCGCTCCTGTCTCGCCTGTCGTCCCGGGAGGCGACAGAGCCCTCAGACACCGCTTTCCTGTGAGCGCGAGGAAGAGGCCAATGCTCTACTCCACGACAAGCTCCCTCTCCTTTCCTGCAGCGATGCCTCTGCTGCACAAACCCGGCTGTCAGCCTACCCCTGCCCATGTGGGAACGCATGCTATAGCCGCTGTGGCAAGGCCCCAGTTTTAACCAGTTCGCATACACACACTGTATTTTTCTCAGCCTATGAGAGTTGACACAGCTTGTGCAAAAGGCTTACGGTTACGTTGCCTTTAGTATTTGGACACCATATAGCTACAGTGATAAGAGAATCACGAAGCCTTTTGTTAACTGGCCTCGTGTTGCTGCCACCACTCCTTCTCCCGCCCTGCGACCAGGGCACCCCAGGGAACAGCAGGAGCAGCAGGGAGAGCATCTCTTGGGAGAAATTTCCCTGGCTTTGGAGTGGTGGGGTGTACACCCATGTCTTAGGCACAACTTCATGCTATGCACTGCAAAACACGGCCTGCCTTGAGCTGGACTGGAGCGCAGAGCCGTCCCTCGTGTCTGCCATCAGGCCAGCAGCAGCGAGAGGACCGCACACCCCCCCAAAGATCGGCCCTAGCACAGCACCTCTGGGTGCTGACGGGCTGGCCCGGTGCTGCTGGGAGTGCAGGGCAAAGCCACCGCGAGGCGTCCAGCTGCATCGCGTTTTCGTGGGTACCAGTTAGTCCCTCACTTCAGAAATACGAACTATTACAGCTCTGAGAGGCAACTACAGTGGACAGGTGAGAGGCCGAGGGCTACAAGGGATTAATTTTTGGACTAACAGGGATTATACCAAATTTGTAAAACAAGTCTTCAGGGTGTCCTCTGTCCTAGGACACTCTGCAGTGTTTGAGAACAATTAGCAAGTGAATTAATTTTGATGTAGCTCTCTGGTTACCACAAACACAGACAATGAAGCTGGTTTTAACACCATCTGCAACTTCTTCCCCTCCCTCGCGCCTTTCTTTTAAAAGCCACCGCAGAGCGGATCTACTGAGCGGCACTAACCTGCTGCCCGTGGGGCTTTCCAAACCCGCATCCTCGGAGACGAAACCTTGACAGAAACCAACCTTCCAGCCAAATTCCTCCACTGCAGACTGAGCCCGGACACTGCGGGGCTGCTACCACATCCCACACCGCATCTTTCGGAAGCAGCCAAAACCTCTGCTAAGTAAAAGTTGAGCCTTTCTCTAAACATTTCCCCTCTCTATTGGGCCCGGGTGCTTGCAATAGTCTCTCGAAAGCAGGTAAGCGCAAGGACAGCCAGTACCCTGCAGTGCTGCACCCCTGCCAGAAACCTGCTGGAGATAAAGTGCTGGATATATAATATTCACAGTAAGTTAAGGGAAAGCAAAGTAAAAGCAGTTTCCGAAGACGTGCTGCAGCTAGGGGCACAAAAACCTGACATAAACCCAGATAAATAAGGAAGGAAAACAAAATTACTTACAAAGAAATTTATTTTATATTTGTGTACAACAAATATATGAAAACGAATTTAATTTGAAAACTGTATATTTGATTTCTTCAAAGTATTGAACCCTCTTAAGGAAAGGTTTTAGTTATTAAAAAGGTACCGAAGGCTAAAATTATACTTGGATAATATATGTGTGTGTACGTATATATATATAAAAAACATGTGCAATTTTATATATATATATATAGTATATATAAATAACATGTGTGACTTACATGATATTTTAAGGTATGCTATTTAAACATTTGAGTAACAATAGAGATATTATAAAATATAGTTTGCTATTTCTACACAGTTTGCATTCAGTTTTTATAAGCATCTAGACAGTGCAAAATTTAAACATATAGAAATATTCTTCTATCGTTCCATACATTGTGCTCAGCTCCCAGGTTTCCTCTGCCATGTTCATAACCAGACTGAACCAAATTTGGAGGCTTCAATACTAGCCCTTACTAGCATCTTCTAAGAGCAATAAAAGGAACTCTGTCTCACCTTGCATTGCACTGTGGTATAGTTTGCGCAGAGAGAACAATGCATTTCCTATGTTAAATGGTCTAACTCCCAGAGATCACATACACCTCACCATATTGACTCATTTCATTGCACTCCATATCCTGCAAAAATAAATCTCCTGTAGGACAGCATACATTACTGCGTACTGAAGTTTAAGTAATATATTTCTTTAACATAAGGCAGGAATATACTGAAATTTGATAACACTTAAATCCAACAGCAATCTGGAATTAAACCACATTTATGTACCACACTTTTATAGATGCTGCCTTTTTTATGTTTATGTCAGAAAATGTGGTAGAGAAAACCTACTTTTCTTTAAATAAAAGCAAGGGATAAAAGCAGTCCTTCTAGAAGAAATTGCTGAAAACCAACGGGACCAGGAGAAACTCGACCACCTTGAAACACCAAAGGTCAGTCTGCACAACCTTTGCTGTAGCCGATGAGCAATTCCTTGCGTGACATCTGGGGGAATACTCATGCGAGTAGGTGCTCGCCACAGCACAGCCTGAGTGTTTTAGCTCTAAATATTTATCATCCTTATTTGCGTCTATTCTATATTAAGGTATTGTATGCTTTTTTCATGTCTTTCTTATGTTGCTAAAAAAGGGAAATTCTGACCATTCCATATGTTTTTACAGTAGCTATTTTTTAACTGAAGGATGTTTGTACTTCAGATAATATGTTTATCACTGAGATAAAAACCTTAATCCTGCTTCCATAAAAATCAGTGTTTCCTTTGCTCCTACTAGAAATAAAATTGGATCCAAATATGTTAGTCACAAAGTTTGCTAATAAAAGTAAATACTATATTCATTAAGTCTCTCAATGCTTAAAGGCAAAGTGGTGTTAGCAAATACCATTTAGCATAGCTTAAAGAACAGTATTATGCATAATTCTAGACAAACTGTTATTCAACAAAATCTAAAACCAGATGTGAAAAACATCTTACGGGACAGCAAATTTTGCTACATGGAAAGTTTCTGGAGCTCTGACAGGCTTTATTCAAATTCATTTCTTAAACCAACCCCCTCACTCACGTCCTACACCGCAATTGCACAAATTAAAGGCTGTGGCCTTGTAGGCAGTATGCATCCAGACCAGCTAATCTGTAAAATTGGATACTCCAGGAGGGTGTCCCTCTTTCCGCATTCATTCCTAAACTCCCTTTTAGCAGAAACTGTCGCGTTTCTGAATCCTTGTAGCAACCGACAAGATAAAGAGCCTAGTGTCATCCCTCATCTACTTCACTTCTCAAGTTTCTCCCTGCACTTGTCCATATAATTACCCCCTGCAGATTTCAACTTTAATTCAGATTTGAGTTACAGTTGCTGAATAGGCCTCACAAAAAGACAAAGCCTCATTAGTAGCCCGCAAAAGTGAGCCTTAATAGTTAAAACCTTGATTTAAATACCAAACAAAGGGGAAAAATAGATGCTGAGACAATGTTTACATCCTTTCAACCACACCCTTGCAATTCTGGCAGTAAATTAGCCAAAGGATGGGCTTTACATCTCATCCATCTCTCTCAGTTGGGAAGGAACAGCCATAACTACAAGTTTTCGCAGGGTGCGGCTGATGCTGGGAGATGGCAGAATACATATGACCAAAGGCTGCATGCCTCACAAGTCAGAACAAAGCAGAGATGTGCTAGGAATTCAGGATTTTCTTATGCCCAGAAGTTTCCTATAGACTGGAGATAAACACGAGTCCTGTCTCCCGCACAAAAAGGAATAGTGTTCAAACCTAGAGTAACACAGCACTAAGAAGAAACTAATAACTAATGCTGCCAAAGCCTCTTGATCTAAGGATTCCCCAAAGCAATCTCAAAGAAAAAGGAAAAGAAAACCTGTGGAGTCAGTCAACACATTTTTTTCAATCCAATTATATAGTAAATGCACCGGCAGGCAAGGCCTCATTTCCAAAAAGGTGAAGAAGAAGAAGTGTGGTGCAAAATGCTTTCATACATTTAAACATTCTTAGGATATAAGAGAGCAGGCAACTTAGAAAACATTCCTTGCAAGCTGTGTGGGATCAGCGCAGTTCTCTGCAGGCTTTGCTTTGTCCTACAGCTCAGCTTTGCCTGTTTGGGCAGGACTGGTGTTACTGCTGCCTTCTCCGGCGTTGTTCTTGTCTGCTGGCTTGAAAGATAACGAAGCAGAGTTTGTGCAGTACCGTTTGCCAGTTGGGCGAGGTCCATCGTCAAAAATATGCCCCAGGTGAGCACCACACTGAAACAAAATACAATAGAGTATCACTGTCTGTGCAGCTTGATGACATCACCGTGGTGTTAAGCAATGACTGACAGCCGTTTCCAAGGAAGCACATTGGTGCCTACATCGCCCTTTCAAGTGGGATTTACAACCTACATTTATTTGCAAGAGTGATCCAGGAAGATGATCTTCTGAGATACCATGGGCGCCTAAGATTTCAAGGCCAAATTTCCTAGGTGTTTCCTGTCGTGCCACTGCATATGTTTGGTTGGGCCACTATTTCTGAGAAGCCACCTGTCTCTGTAATGATCTCATGGAGGGAGCTCAATTAAAAACACGGCGGTGAGGGCAGCATTACCCGCATTTCACTTGCTGCTGTAAGGATAGCCGTGTAAGAAAGAGGCAGCAGATCTGCTAGGCCCCTCGGTAAGAAAACTCTAAACCCCATGGTGATGCTGTTTCCACAGCCTGGCACTCTTCTGAGCATCAGGGTCCTTTTGGGTGCACCTCTGCTTCTCACCCCTGGAGGGGACTGAGCTCATCCACTACTCATCTGATACTACTTTCTGTAGTATACATGAGATAGGGACAGGTGACTGAAAAAGACCTGTAGTGAAGATATGTAAAGTATTTCTGAATTAATAGTCTTAGCTGGGACTAATTATAAACAGGAATGATGCTGAATTTGCTTTTTGTAAGGAATATGAAACTAGAGATGGTCTGTTGACACTTTTGTTCTGTATCCATCAGCCTGAGATACTCGCAGTGGTATTCAGGGTGAACACTACTGCTCCTGTCTGTAAAAAAGGTAACAGTCCCTTGCTTTACAGGAGAGTACAATATTTTGAAGAAGCTGATCCAGTTGATCCTTATTCAAAAATTAGGATTACTATCACTGCGCATGATGGCTGACAACTTATCTGGATAATAAGAACTTCTTGTAATTAGTCACTTAAATTCCACAAGCTCATTTTTACAGCCTGCCATGAGAAATAAAAAAATAAAACCTCGCACTGGAGAAATATTTATCTTGAACAGGAAAGTCATGCTGCTTTACCAAACAGCCTTGGCCTTTCAAGTCAATAGCTGATCTCAGTGAGAGCCGGAATGATGTAACTGAGATCACAGAGCTGCTCGTGGGCTCGCGGTCAGACAGCAAAAATTAAAAGACTGCAAATTATTCTTAACATTTAATTAATTCATAGCATTCCAAATACACAGAGGCAATACTGATTATTCTGAACTGTGAACGAGTTAGTGATGGCAAATCTCCACCCTGCAGTTAATGTGTTACTCTCCTGCTGTTACTGCCTTTAATTCACCAAAGCAGTAGGAATGGTGTCTGTAGAAGCAGGTAAAGTCTTGGCTTCAGGATAAACTCTCTCAGCAGACTGAAAAGCTGGGGGGAGGCTCTCATGCCAGCTAGGAGAGACAGAAACTTCTTGTTTAATGACCACTGAAACAATAATCCTCACTGACTCTGGGAGCAGGGCAGGTAGCTGTGGAGCCTCAGTGCTCCGGTTCGTCAGTCCCACCTGCGGCAGCCACATCCCAGGCTCCTGGCTCCTGGAGAAGGGTCGCTGAAACAGCCACGGCAGTCCAGCAAGGACCCCAATAACAAGCAAAGGCCCGTGGTATCAGCAGGACGAGCTCCCACAGGCCATGGGAAAAGGCATGGATGACTTTGGGTTAAGCAGCAGCTGCTTGGCTTTGTAAGGAATGAAGACAAAACGTGGCAAATAAGGGAAAGGCAAGGGAAAGTTGCATGGCAACTAGAGAAGACAAAGCTTCAAGTCTTGTTCCTGAAAGACTGCTGTCTTGCCACCTTTTCCTCCATTCTCCAGTTTATTTTATTTAATTTAATTTCATATTCCTTTAGGTTGAAGGCCTTTTTTAGGCAGTTTGGGCAGAAAACCTGAGCTGTTTCTCAGAGTGGGGTCTCTCACAATGAGGCATTTCACCTGATTATAAAGCTTTTCCATACCTTGGGAAAAAAAAAATCTAAAAAAACTTAAGTGTCCCAGAGAGAGTATTTTTCTAAATGCTCAGCATCCTAATTAAATCATCTCATCTCAACTAAGAATGCTTCAAAACCTCCTGGCTGGAAGTGTTAAACAGATCTTTTCCAGATTAACATTTAACCAAAGATAAATCATTCCTTCTCCACTGGACAGAAACAGAACAAGAGAAACCGTAGAGAGAAATTGTCTGCAGGAGTAATACACTCACATACAGACTACAAAGACAATCTATCAAAAAGGTTTTCCTCACAAAACCTGAGAAGCTGTGTGAGAGCCCAAGGTAGTCTCATTACACCTCCTTGTGATGGCAGAATCACACCAGGATTGGATTACTGCAAAATTTGTTACCTTTTGAGATTACCCCTCACCAAAAATTTATGTGGCGATTCTCTCTGTAGAGGACTCTATAACTCATCTGCCCTGAAAAGAAATGTAATTCAATCCTTTGTATCACAGTATAAGAAACCTGGCCCTCAGCTGAGAGTACAAAGGATGAATTGATTTTACTGTCCTCCCCACACATAATAGGTGCCGACCATTTTTCTAGGACGTATATCCATGTCTGCAAAGCCTCCCAAAAAGAAACAATCATCTGTTGCAGCCTTGCACATAAATATATTGGGCAGAATGCACTGGGACGGTGAAATGGTCAGAGTAAAGCATTTGAAGTATGTGTTTGGGAGCAGGAAAGGGGGGGGGTCACTGCTAACTGTCAGTATGCTTGGATCTCCCAAGCCTCCTGGTTCTAATATGCTGCTGGGAGGCACGGAAAGCAGCTTGCAGTCAGCTGCTGTAGCTGAGTCCAAGCTACTGATGTGCAAACAGTAATTCTGTGACTACAGAATTTTGTTGATTTGTACAGGCACAAATAATAGCTAGGGACACCTCAGGGGAAGGGAATCTCGAGCAAGAAAGAGAACAAAAAGAGAGATGCAACCAGTTTTATATTATCCCTCAAATGCAGTTGTAATTAACTTCTACCTGTCGCTAATCATTGACCTTTTAAATACACCCAGGGTGTTTCCAAAAAACTGTAGAAGTTATTTCTAGGATAATCCCATGGATGTCTTTGATTAATATTACAGCAATTTTCCCCTGGCGTTTTCTTTCTATAATGGAGTACATTAAAAGAGAGGGGGTTTTATTCTCTCAGACAGGTGGAAGGACTTTTAAAGAAAAATCAACTACTTTTTCACCTGTGAAAGATTAGTAAGGTTTTGGGTGTGGGAGAGGGTATTTCCCTCCAGTTCTACCAAGGCCTGCCATATCAATCCCACTGCTTTCCAGGCTGCAGTAAAACTGTGGTTTTTTACAGCTGCGTGTGTGATTCACCTTCCTAGGGCTCTGAGGAGGGGAGGAAATGGTGGTGTTACGGATATAAAATGCAGTGGTATTAACTGTGCTGAGCGGTGACTGCAAAGATGCTCACCACTCCTCAAGCTGTTTTCCTGCGTGATTTGATCATCAGTGGGGTTATTGCCCCAGGAAGTTGGAGTAGCTGGTAGGAAGTTGCTATTGGGTTATATAGCAACCTTGGTTGTATTTTTTTCTTAATGCTTTAAATTTGGGTTTTGGGTTTGCTTTAATTTTATGGTGTCTGCATGTGATTGCTGCTAACGCTGCTGGTCGCAGGTCTGCTAACGCTATTTTGTTTGGCAACAGGTAAATGACATTCCCAGATTCCTTGGCCTGACCACAGGCTGCCTTGGGCTTCTCTCAGGTGAAACCAGGAGCTCGGGCCATCTTGAAGGGTGTCAGCAGATACGGGCTCAGCAGGTTGGCAGTACGCTGATTTTAGCACTATTCAGGCCTACTAAGCAGAGCTGAAGAGAGCGGGTTGCATTTTTGACTATGCCAGTCACTGGTTAAGCACGAGATTCCCAGTCTGCAGTCCCATTGCTACCTCGCTAAGGAATTTAGGGAAATGGATGTTCCCAAAAAGTGTTAAACGGATCTGCTAAAGCGTATCATAGTGAAAAAACTACAGAATTATGTAGTACACATGACATCTAGCAGACACACTGATTTGGCCATTAACATGTTGGGTCAAACCCTCTAGCCAGACTGAAGGTAATGGATTCTCCACAAAGACAATCTTGCCTCTTTTTAGGAAGCTTCTTAACTCATTCTGAGCATTTATAAATGAGGACTGACTGAGTAGTAAGATGCATATTGTCAGGGATGAAATGAGTTATCCTTCCATTGATACTGTCTGAAAAAAGAACAGCAAATTCTGAGGGCCCCAATGAAGCTGCTGCTTCTCTCAGGAGGAGTTTGAGCATGTGGGACTAGAGGACTGCAAGCTGCTGGGTATGTCTGCCACACACCAGTGCAGCAGCTTCCCCCTTTGCTGGGTAATGATTATGCCATTCTCTTCACAGAGAGGAGGGCAGCACAAAGGACGAGAGAAAGTAGAACAAGACAGATAACGGAAAATTTGGGCATGTTTTGAATGACTACTGACTTCATTATTACGGCAGATGGGATTGTTTCAGGCAGCCATTAAGACTGCGCTGGGAATGAGTGTTGGGAATGAGTTAGCACGGCTGCACAGTAATGCACAGTGATGGAATCAGCACACAGACAGTCGCTCCACTGCTTTCAACTTCCCTCTCAATTGCTCACGTGTGCAGTCAGTCGGCCAGGCTGAGGCTCAGGAGCTCCTTTGAAGGGACCCTCTTCAGGAAGACAGTTTTTGTAGACTCAGCACCGAGTCCAACCATTTACATCTGCTCTGTTAAATCTCACACGAGACAACAACGTGCATTCCAACGAGCCCTTTGTGCCTTCAGCTCTTTCCACCCAGCTGTTATACCTACAACCCATTGTGCTCTCTCACAATGATTACTATTTAATGGAACTGAAAGGTTTGCAAATCCTAGGGAAAGTACAGCACACTGTAATGATTTTTGCAGTCTTTGCCATCGGAATGGTCTGTGTGTGCTATAAACTAACCTGACTGCAGGATATTTCAATCCGATGCATCCCGTAGGAGAAATCATCATTGAAAGTAATTGCATCGGGACTGATCACATCATAGAAAGAAGGCCAACCTGGAAAAGAAGAACAAGATAATTAAGAAAAGAGGGTGTCTTGGTGGCAGATGGCATTGTAAAAAGCAAGGCAGAATCACACTTTGAAAAATGTTTATCTTACTCCAGAGCCTGGAAATAACTGAAATGGAGATTTTGGATCCTAAATCACATAGGTACTTTGGAAAATTTCCCCCCTAAATACAAAGTTGTTTACAGTCAAGGACTGAACTGCCACTAGCTGCCCATCTTCCATCTCAACAGAGACTCTTGCACTCCACCGCAAGCAGCGGTAGCAGTTTAGCTCAGGCATGAAGGTGGTTGCTCAGGTAAGCCAGATTCAGCCTCACCATCAGTTTAAAAAAAACACAAAACAAACCCTGAAGACAAACAGTGAGACTTTATGGAACGCAAGTGGTTTTGCGGTTTTGCGGTTTTGCTTCTGCAGTGTAAAGGTACTTTAAAAAAAGAGTTGGTAAATTGCAATTTTGACCCCCAAAACCTGCCTTAACCTCTGCCTTCACCAAAGCATGGTCACGCCCAGAAGGATGTGCTCAGACCCTGACCCATCACACATTAGAGGCAATGAGACAACTACTATTGTGTCTAATTTCAAACTAGTAATGAGTGCTTCAGATCAGCCATGGACAGGTGGAGTCATAAGTCTGCCTATATTAGACACTAGGAGTTGGTCTGCATGTGGGCTGCCTCCAGGAAAAAACAATTGCACTCATTAACACATATGTTCAACACAGCTGCTAGCTGAGCACTGAGCAGCATGACCCAATACCAGATGATGAGGAGGTGTATACCTGATCCACAAATAATGGCCACTTATCATCTAAATAATGACCTTCCACTCCTTAACTATCCCGTGCCAAGCCTCCCCCTCTCCACAACACAGGTAAAAAACAACGCAGGTCTATTCAGTGTCCCACTAGATACCCATTACACAGTTGTAACGTTTCAGCCACCCCTCAAAGACTTGTCATCATATGCTCCGTTCCCTGAAGCATGGTTCCCACATAAGAATCTGACAGGCTTTGAGGTCATGTCAACATCTACCAGTGCCCACCTGTAATTCCACCGGCTGTCTGTCCTTCTCATGCAGTCTCTTGCCAAATATCATAAGACGCACAGGCAACTCTTGCTCTCTGTGTATTACACATATGCCCACAAATACAGAACTTCCTTGTTTCTTCTTTTAATATTTGTTAAGCATTTGCTACTGATGATTTCATAAAATGACTTGTGATTACCTATTAAGAAATGCAGCAGCAGCTGTGAATCACTGCATGCAGGTGAATAAAGGATGTATACACCTTCCCATAAGTAAAGTGTGTAAAATTTCCTATACAGTAAAAGGAAGCATGGAAGCTATCGAGTTTTCTGAATGTGGGTAAAGAAAGCATGTAAACTGGAAAAAAAATCTGTATGCTTTCAACTGTATCTTAACCCATTAAATACAGAAGAACACTTATTAGGATGCAAACATAACAGGCGTGATTTTTTAAGAAAGAAATGCTCAGAAATGCATTTCTCTTCCTTTTGGGAACACCCATATAGTAGCATTCCTAAGCCTGCAACCTGAAGGCATGGCAAGCCCCAAGTCCTATGCTCTCAAGGTGCCTACTACCATAAGTGTTTCCAACCCAGAACTCACTGCTGAAGTAAGTAGAGTCATTTTTTTTCCTCAAAAGGATTGCAAATGGAAGAGTTGCAGACAGCAGACAGATTGAGGAGCAAGAACTCTTGAACAGGGAAAACATCCCACAAGACAGGAACTCAAAAGAGCGCAGCAATGACAACCGTAAAAAAACAATTTATAAATTCTTCTCCTCATGCAAAATATCTCTGCCAAACAACTACCTTCACAAACAGAAAAGGAATAAACATATGACAAGTTTTGCAAAAGGGGTTATCCTGTTGACAGAAAAATTGATGTCTCCTAATTGGTGGCTCCTTTCCAACACCATTCGTCATCTTCTTAGCTGGGCCCTTCGTCTAATGAAAATTGAGGCGTTACATAGAACTGATCAGAATATTTTTAATTAAGCCTTTTTAGTTTTTTTAATTTAATAATGTTGCAAAACAGACATATCAGTTTGCCCTTGTGTGATGGCAGAGAAGTTCCAAAGAGGGAGCTGTCTGGAGCAACCAACTATCTGATTGTGTGAAAGTCTCTGGAGAAGGAACACTTCAGTGCTGCAGAAATTCTCAAAGACAACCCTGCCTCCTCCATAGCAGCAATAAGGGGGAAGCTTCAAAGGCTGCTACAAAGAGATTGAAGCAATCTGTGCCTTGCTGAGAAAATTATCTTGTGAGAAGGGTTTGGAGGAGAAGTGTTTCTGTCAGCTTTGACATTAAAGGAAGACCATCCATCCTCCTTTCTCTAGACTTTTCCTTTTGGTCTTCCCATTCACCACAGAAAAATTATTTGCTTTGGATGCACTCCATACACTTTTGAAAAATGAAGTCATCTGAAACCTATATAAACAGGCAAGCTCCTCCTAAAGTAGCCTTTGTACCCAACTGGAGTGACTTCAGTTTAGGTTGTCAGTTCATGCTACACGTGACACATGTTCCAAAAGCTCCAGCGCTGCCACATATGGTCCCCAAGACAAGGACTAGGAAACAGCCTGTGCCTCCACAGTGAGGACTTCTGACTCCCAGTCATGCCACCTCTTCTTGAGTGACATGACGGGCCAGGCGCCAGTATAGCTGTGATGAAGTGGTAACTCCACGAGGGTTGACTGAAAGCTGAGCAAACCTCGCAACAGAAAAGGTCCTGAAGGGCACAGCGAGACACACTGCCATTCTGCTGACCTTGAGAGGAAGACAAGTGAACTGCTCATTGACTTGATGATCCAAACTCACCAGGAAAATCAATCCCCCTCTGCTGTCTCATTTCCTCTCTCCTGAGCTAAAGTGGAAAACCCATTTGATACTTTGCTAAGCCTTCTCTGGCCATTTTCTCTACTTCAGAAGCTGCCAGGAACAAGCTGTAGAAGCAGTCTGCTTGCCTGCACATCAGGCAACTCCCAGTGACACAGAAAGCCAGCCAGACTTCTGTGGACTCTTCATATGATCTTTCTGTATTTGTAAGTGGTGAATGACCCAGCAGTGGCGTCCACTTTGCAAGGCCCAGGCTACTTCTCCTGCTGTCTCGCTGGCTGCTGCTCCTCCACTCCTCTCCTCCTGAGCGCCTGCCTCCTTCCTGCTGTAAGGCTGCAAAATGGCTGACTTGCTCTACATTTTAGACTGCTGTTAGCTGTGCATTAAAGCTTTGGCCTGTCTTTGAAGGCCATCCAGCTACTTGGAAAGGGCATGCTTCTGCAGGAATGGGGGCAAGAAGGCCATTTTAAACCTGTTCTGCTTCTGCTGCGCTGAGAAGCAGCAACCCTTCGCACTGCAGAGGCTGAGCACTGGAGGAGACCCTTCGCAAAGGCTGGTGCTGAGACTCAACCCTCCCCAAATGATGGCTTTCTGTCAGGCCTGGCTCACCACATCTGATGGGCAGGAGGAGTGGGGCTGCTGTCTTTTGAAGGACGGTAGAACATAACAGCTAGGAAGAAATAGCTGCTGGAGGAAAGGGGCAAAGGGTAATTGCAGGAGACAAGATGGGGGTGGGGGGAGTCTCCCAGCTGAGTGAACAACTTCAAATGACACTTGCACATTATTTTTGGTGTGTGTATGAGAACAGCAGCTAAGATTTGTGAATACATTTATCATTGAATGTAAAGTTTGGTTTGAGGGAGAGTATGACACAGTAACGGTCAGCAATTTTTATCACATTATAGACATTTAAAATGGGCTCATTCAGTTTTCACAATCACTTTGCATCACACTGGCAATATAAAAGGGCTTTAAAGTAAGAGCCTGTTGTGTTTTTGCTCACTCTGATGACCCCTTTACATGGGAGTCAGGCCACTGTGTCCTAAGGGCCAGTTTCTGGTACGTTAATAAGCCAGCCAAGGAGATGAATAGCTTTTCAGATATATAGCAAGTATCCTTTCTTGGATCTAAAATACACTAAATGAAGCAATGAAACTTTCTTCTGTCAAGTACTTAAGTGAAAACCATGTGTAAACTGAACACTACTGACAGATCTTTTCCGCTCCATCCTGCATGAGTAATAGAAAGGATCTTATGCTGCTGGGTGTCACACATACTGAGTCATGTCCCGTTCCTCCTCATTCTGAGACATCCCCCAAATACTTTGTAAGTGCTGCACAGTATTTCTAAAATTCACCCCACAGCCCCTCACCAAAACCCTATCTTTTGTTTTTCATAATGGTCCCTATTCTGGCAAAGAAGAGACAAGCAGTTCATGCTGCTTCATCAAAGAAGGCTTTCTTCAGAGCAGAGATGTCCTGGTACTGCCCTGGGCAGCCGCAATGGGGAACAGGGAGGAAGATAAATGTGGCTCTGGTAACCTATGCTGGATGCTGCTCTTGCAGCCCTGGACGTAGGGTTTCAGATCATTTAGAAGAGGCATCTTCTTTCTCGCTTTCAGACCTCCTACTCTAGGTACCTGATTGAGTCCGTATTACTAACGAGCTGCCTAAGGCAGGCACCTATACAGGCAGCCGGCACAAGGTGGGTATCACAACAGCACAGGCGGCCAGCACACAGCAGTCCCAGACAGCTGACAAACTGAACAGGTTGTCTCCTTCTTAAACCGAGGTGCCAAAGTAGTTGTAATGCCTAAGGCAGCGACAGCAAACCGGGAGCCTACAGTCCAGCCCTCCTTGTGTAGTCCTGGTAGAGATGTGAAACCCTGGCAGGAGTAGGTTGTTTCTTTCACATTAACCCAGGAAGTTCTCGAGCACTTCATCTCGTGCGCTACTCTAGGACTCTTTCTTGGGGCAATGCTGACCTCATGCAAAAAAAAAAAAAAGGCATTTTTTTCCCATAAACTTCTGGAAAGCAGTCCAGCTGATAATTGATTGATCAATTTTAGAAGCATCTCAAACCTCCTTCCAGTTTTGCAAGTTTGCACACATTTTGTTGTAGTTAGA